TGAACAGTTCGATGATGGTGAGGAGGATTTTATGGTTTATGACGATGATACCAAAATGACGGAACTGTTGATGGAGGCGATTTCATTTCTGTCCAATGGCAAGCCAGATTTGGCTCGGGCAGAGGCGGACCCATTGTTCAAACTCCTGAAGTTCAATGGAGATACTGACCAGATGGATCAAGAATGGGTTTCGTGGACCACTGGTATGTTGACCGTGCTGGAACTTCACGAAGTAGTGAAGTCGTATGATGTTTCGCTCGCGGAGGTGGAAGAATGGGTCAATGACCTGAGGATATGGTACGAGCGAGCCAATTTGGGAGAAGAGAAAGATTCCAAAAGAGGCAAAAAGAGGTCCCTAGAAAGGGAATCCAGCAAGGATATTCCTGCAGAAAAAGAAGTGGTTGAGACTTCGGAGACGGAGGTTGCCGTTGAGGAGGAGATGAAAAAGGTAAAAAAGAAGAGGAAAGCTGCAGCTATCGAAGATCCTTACACTCTCATGGTTCCAAAGCCGAAGAAGATGCCGGCGATCATTGAGAAGGGTGGATCATCATCCAATGTGGTGGTCTCTGCAGTGGAAAAAGCCTCGAAAATGCGCACAAAGTCAAATGTCGGTGGAAAGACAAAGAAGAAGGAGAAAAGTCAGAGTCCCAAAAAGGAAGAGGTGGTAATGGTGCAAGGTCCTGAGGAAAAGGATCGTCCATCTGATGCGGATGCACCAGCGTCTACCACTGTGAATGCGGAGCTGGGTCAATCTTGCCAAGCGATTGAGGACGCAAAGAGAGAAGGATTGGTATCCTCAATTCAAAGGTGCGTGCAGGATCCTGTTCTTACAGTTTCGGACCTGGAGTATATTCTGCTGCAACTTCACCTCAAAATTGCCAACAATCGGAAAAAGAAGTGATTGGATGGTATGGATGAAGGGATGGTTTTTCTCTTTCTGGAGACAGGTGCGCTGGAACAGCCAATGTGCTGACAATGTGGTGGTTACTATTAAGGGTATGGAAATCCCTGATAGTAGAAGTCAGTAGTTTTTCGCGTAGCGAAGACCACGGTTTGTGGTAAAGAAGGCCGAAGAGTCTTCAATGATAAGAGGATCATGGTGAAAAAGATTCTCTGTGGTTAGTGGGTTTAGCCAATGTGCTATAATTTCGTCCTGGATGACGTAAAACCATATTGTGCATTTCAAGCAGCTGGCTGCTGCCTTAATGGCAGTTTTTGGCCAAAAGATCTGCACCTCCAATGTGTCCTAGGAAATCCTAGGACAGGGGGAGTGCGGAGCTGCAACTGGTATTGTAGAAAAGAGTTAGTGTTGGGGGTTGGAAGGGTCAATGAACCCGGAAATCTTGTTTGGCTCAAGATGGCCAAGAGCCGTCAGCTTTTGTTGAAAAAGTACGTACGCCTGGGGTTGGGTTTAACGGGTTGGAGTAGTCCCGTCCCTTCTCCCTTATCCTGTCCCCGTAGGGGTGGGTGTTCTTGTTTCTGGTTCGATCTGGGAAATCCATATAGGCAACTGTTGTGGTTGGTTTCTTTCCCTGTTCCCTTTCGGTTGCCCCCGTATAGGGTTTAGGGTTTAGGGTTTAGGGTTTAGGGTTTAGGGTTTAGGGTTTAGGGTTTAGGGTTTAGGGTTTAGGGGTAGGGTTTGGGATAATTTAGGGTGCCTCAGGAGCGGAACCCAGGAAACCGACAGTACATGTGTTTAGGGTTTGGTGTAGCATCTTTGCAGTTTCAGCTACAACACCCCAAATTACAGGGTACCTATGTTTTGTAGGTGGGGAGGGTTCCGATCGGAAGGATTGCAATACTCCTGTCGGGCGGAAGAGCAGGAGGGGTGCCACTTTCATTGCAAGTTTCTTTGGTCTCAGGTAGGAAAACCAGGCTTGTGCAGGCTTAAAGCCCCGAAACCCTAAACCCTAAACCCTAAAACCCTAAAACCCTGAACCCTAAACCCCAAACCCTAAACCCTAAACCGGAGGTTTGGGAATGAGCGGCAGTTGCCATGGTCGTCCGCAAGGCGGCGCCCTGCAGAAGCGGGCCGGGGCCCGAGCGCCCAGGAGAAGCAGCTCCAGCAGCCGGTCGACATGGCTCGTGGTCAGGCGAAGCGGTTTAGGATTTAGGGTTTAGGGTTTAGGGTTTGGGGTTTGGGGTTTGGGGTTTGGGGTTCAGGGTTTAGGTTTTAGGGCGTAGGGTTGAGGGAGTTGAGGGTGTAGAGAACTCGTGGTCAGACCCTTCACGGGCCTTCTTTTGGAGCAGCGTCGTTCGCATGCGGGGCAAAGGACATGCTTGGGGGAGACTTGACGACTCAAGTTCGGATTCACAATTGTATGCAGTGCACGCCCTTCTTCGGGTACCCTGAACCCGAAACCCTAAAAGATTCGTAGGGTTTAGGGTTCACAGGTTTTCACAGGTTCAAGAAGGCTTTAGGCCAGCCCGGCAGATGTCATTCTTGAAGGTTTGCATGGGGTAGCGAGAAGTAGGGTCAGAAGTAGGATAACTGTAGCTATAACCTTGTTTAGAAGTAGCATAGCTGTAGTTATGGCCTTGTTTAGTAACCACCCGCGAACCTTTAAGGAAGGCTGAGGGTCTGAGTCTCTGCCCAGCTCGGGCGCCTCCTCAGCGATTCGGTGCAGGATGCTCTCTGGCTGCACCTCCTGCGGATCCGGATTTGGGGTTTCAAGTCTAGGGTTCGAGGTTTGAGAGTTTAGAGTTTATCGGGGTAGGGTTCCCCTAACACTGTTGCTCATCTGAAGGGCTTGCTCTGCATGTACAACTCGCCCACATGCACAATTGGCTTCTTGATGAAGACGCTGCGAAGGAGTTCTACAGGGCTACCTGAGACTCTAGCTACCTGCTACTTGGAGGTGCCTGTTCCCACCATGTCTATTCATCACTTGCTTTGAATTTTAGATATTTACTTTGTTTGCACCTGTTTTTTTCTTGGGGGGGGGGGGGCACTTGCTTTGAATTTTAGGCATTTATATTGTTTGCACTTTTTTTCCTTGGGGGGGGTTGTAACCTAGCACGGTCTACTTTGTCAGGCGCAGGTGTTGCAGGCGGGGTTCCTGTGGCTACGGCCTTGTCGGGTTGCAAGCCTGGGGTGCGGAATGTTCTGTAGCTTTGGGCTTTCGGGGTTTGGGCATAGGGTTAACGGTTTCCTATCCCTGCTTAGAGGCGATAGGGATCCTAGTACAATGCCGTTTAAGGAATATTGCAGACATACAGGAGATGTCAGAGTCACCCTAAACCCTAAACCCTAAACCCTAAACCCTAAACCAGAATACAAGAGATATCAGGGCCTCTGGGGATACCATTCGAGCGCACTCGGATCATAGGATGCCCTTGAACTTAGGGTTTTAGGGTTTAGGGTTTCGGGTCTCGGGGTCTGATGAGTACCCTATATGTGTTTTAAAGGATATAACTGACCTACTTTTCACCCCACCCCCACTTATAATTAGCCATGAGCCCTCAAGTAGCCCTAAACCCTAAACCCTAAACCCTAAACCCCAACTTAGGGTTTGTTTCTGAGATGGGTTTTTGGGATGCCGGCAAGGTCTAGCAGAAAACTGGTCCGGTCAATAAGTAGTTTAGGGTTTAGGGTTTACGGTTTAGGGTTTAGGGTTTAGGAGTACTCGACTACTGCTGTTTGCTGACAAACACCACAAAATAGAAGACAATATGCCCGATAATATATACCTTTCTGAAGAAGTATAGAGTCCTCAGGGGAGTGACTACATTGGTATCTTGAAAACGCCCAAAAGGTTACCAGGGTTTCGGGCTCTTCGGGTCTGGAGCTTAGGGTTTACGGCTTAGGGCTTGGGGCTTACAGGGATCAGGGTTTGTGTGTGGGAAAGCTGTGGGCAAGTCTATAGGGTTTAGGGTTTAGGTTTAGGGTTTAGGGTTTAGGGTGTAGGGTTTAGGCCCTTTGACTTGGACTACTTCTGCCTGGCCTCGCCGTCCTCCATTGCCAGCCGCACGTGCGCGCGGCGCGGCACATCGTCGACATCCTGCCGGGGCTGCTTTCTTTGGCAAGGCGGCTCGCGTTGTGGGATGTTGTTTGGGATGTCTCTCTAGGGCCTACCATACTACAATCAACTTGAACCTCCAAACCTAGCACCAAGAACATCCCTAAGCCCTCAACCCTAAGCACCAATTACGGCTTCAGCTGCTCTGAGCCTCAGCCATAAATCCCGTTAAACCCTTACTTGAAGGCTCATGGGTAGCTAGAAGTAGGGTTATAAGTACCCTACATAAGGTTATAACCAGTTATAATAAGAGGTACCCTACGTCTAACCCCACTTTAAGTACCCATGAACCTCCAAGTACCCTCTGAGGGTCCCAGGAGCCTCCAGCAAGTCTGCGAGAAGAGGGTGATGGAGAAGCTCTGCTGCCTTTGAGGGTGTTAACGGCGTATTCGGGCTTCTTCGGGTCTGGAGAAGGCCCGAAACCCTAAACCCAACACCCTAAAGCACTCATGAGGGTTTAGGGTGCAAAGCTTAGAGCTGTGTGAACGCTTAACGAGGATTTCTTTTGGCTCAGGGGGTGGGGTTCAGCATTCAGTCTCGGGGAGCCCTGAACCCTGAAGTCTTAAAGGGTTTAGGGTTTCGGGTTAGGGTTTAGGGTTTAGGGTTTAGGGTTTAGGGTTTAGGGTTTAGGGTTTAGGGTTTAGGGTTTAGGGTTTAGGGTTTAGGGTTTAGGGTTTGGGGTTTGCCTAAACCCCACAGCCATTGAGTCTGGGAGTCGCGAGTCAGGACTAACCCTTCACCTTCCTGCGGACTCAGAATTTGCTGGCTTGAGGGAGTCAACCCGCCCACCGGCGCACATGTTGAAACACCTTACAGGAAGGGGCCCCCTTGCTAAACTAACTTTTGTTAAGGGACTTATTACCGAATTTAGGATCCTCATAACCTGCTTTAAGGTCCTTATACCTCTACTTATACTTGGGGGGCCGCTGCTTGCGGAAGCTCTTTCGACTTCGTAAGCCTACTAAGCATCCCTTAGAAACCCTATTCGAGTCCCCATAAGCCAAGGCCTTTGGCACAGCTGCCAGCAAGACTCCTGCTGATCTTCTGCAGATCTCCGCCCCGGAAGCACCATGCGAGCCTCGGGTTTATGATGCCAGCCAACAAGCAGCTGTGGAGCAGCATGTGCATCTTTGGCAAGCTTGAGAACAACTTCTCGTCCTCCTCCCCGAAGTGTTTCGTCAGCTCCAAGTGCAGCTGGCACATGGCAAAGCTGTAGTTGATGAAGGTCTCTGCCTCAGACTCTTTGAATGCCAAGGAACTCTTGCACTCCTTCATCATTCTCTCCATGGCATTGTTCAGCTTGAGCATTGTCCGGACTTTGCAGTGGACCTCTATCATATACTAGGCTCACCGAACACAGCAATCTGGCCTAATCTGGCCCTTCAGCTTGGGGGCTAGGGTCGGGTTTAGGGTTTAGGGTTTAGGGTTTAGGGTTTAGGGTTAGGGTTTAGGGTTTAGGGTTTAGGGTTTAGGGTTTAGGGTTTAGGGTGTAGGCTTCTTCCGCTGGAAAAGACTATACTAAGCTTGTTCATGCTTTCTAACCCGACTTTCCAAGTCAAAAGGGCTTCCAAGCACAGGCTGCCTTCTTTCCAGGTCAGGAAAGATCCCTTGGCCCCAGGTCCCAGGCGCCCCCTCGGAGCCCTAAACCCTAAACCCTAAACCCTATATAAACCCTAAACCCTAAACCCTAAACCCGAAAGCCTGAACCCTGATCCCTAGACCGAAATGCTGGTACACTTGGGGTTGAGGCATTAGAGTTTAAAATTTTGGTGGCAAGTCAAACAGATATTCCACTGTCTCAAAAGTATGGTCGGTCCCTTTTTGGGGTAGGCCGCCTTTCATAAGGACACCAAGGGAACCATAATTAGGAGAAGTGACCATCTAGAGCTGGGATGCCTCATGACTCTGATTTAAGACTGAGGCCTTCTGCAGATGCGAATCTTAACCCCAGACCCCCTAAAACTGGTTGAAACCTTATCCCGAACCCTCAACCCTCAACCAGTATGAGCCTTGGGCTTAGGGGTTTAGGGCCTTTTTAGGGTTTAGGGTCAACGCCTATTCCCTAGACCCCCAACCCTCAGCCAGCATAAGCCTTGTGTTTAAGGGTTTTCGGCATTTTCGGGTTTGGGTTTAGGGGCTTCTGTTCTGAGAGCAGAACCGCTGATCGCTCGTCACCAGCGAGCTTCAGACATCTGCCTGATTTGAGAAAGTCCAGCGTAGCTTAGCAGTCTGCCCTTGTGCGGATTCTATAGGAGAACCAAACCCCAACACCCTAAACCCTAGACCCTAAACCCTCCTAAAGAGGGGGGAAGAAGGCAATTAGGGCCCACTCTGGGTTGGAATCATTTTTGGGATTTAAGAAGTTTTGGGCTTAGTATAGGAGTCGTAAGCCCAAAACCCTACTCTAATGAGTAAGGTCCCCATATTACTAGTTTAGTTTCCCTACACCTTAAACCCTAAGCCCTATTCAGGCCAGCAAGGCCGATGTAGTACGAAGTTTAGGAATTGGTGTCGGATTTGATGGCGTAGGGCTCTACTTTTTGCTTAAGAACCCTGCAGAAAAATATTCTTCATTATTTAGGGCAATATGATCATTTTCATTGTTGGGGGGTTCTTGAGCAACTAGTAGAAGGAGTGAGAAGGGTTGGCTGAGCCCGACTTGGGGTTCAGGGTTTAGGGTTTAGGGTTTAGGGTTTAGGGTTTAGGGTTTAGGGTTTAGGGTCTTTGTTTTCGGGCCCCTGGGGCTTTAAATAGGCCTGTAAGCTTTGCAGGGTCTAGGGTTTTGTTGCGGTCTTGCGGCTTCGGTGCTTTTGGGGTCCTTTAAGGCTTAGCTGTTGTCTTAACATTTTCGTGTGGGTTTTAGGGTTCGGGGAATGAAAAACCCTATGTCCACAACCCTGAAGCCAGACAAATCTGTGACGTTCTTCCAGCTTTGTCCGCACCAAACCTCGTCAGATTCATTGCCTTCTCCATAACTACCAGGAGGAGCTGGTATTGGTCCCACTGCTCATTAGGTGGTCGGTCGGATGGCTGACAGAAACGCCGCTTTGCTCCAACTCATCGACAGACCACTCAACATGCGATCGCTGTTTGTCTGTGTTTTGGGGAGAAGCACCGCCAGGAAATGAGTCCGCCAAGTCAGAAGTCTGAAGAACAAGCACGTTCAGGGTTCAGGGGGGGTTTCTTTGACAGTTTTCTCGGTGACGCCGCTATACTGGTTTCGGGGTGGCATGGGTGTGGCGGTGCTCGGTGCATCACAGTTCTGCTCTGTGCTGCCGCCTTGTCGCGGACGGACTGCTCGGCTGCACAAAGCACGACACCCAAAACCCCTAAACCCCGAAACATTGAAACCCTGCACCCTGTAAACCCTGAGCCCTAAACCCTATATACACCCTAAACCCTAAACTCTAGAAGCCTTATACCCTACGAACCCTGAACCTTCGGAGCCGAAGTCCCATGCCCTCAACCTCCTCAGCCCTTGTTCAAGCTCCAGGGCTGCGAAACATGCCATGAGCATCTTGTTGACATGCAAAACCCCTGGAAGGCCTCAACCCTACTTGGAGGTTCATGGGTGGCTATAAGCAGGGTTTATAAGCAATTTAGAGATAATTCTATCAGGTTACAGCCATGTTCAGGATGCTTATGACCCTACTCAGAACTACTCATGAACCTCCAATCCAAGTAAGCCCAAGATCCTTAAAGCCATGAGCCTGCCGTTGAAGCCCTGGGTCCTTTAACTCTACAGCCCGTACAACCCAAAACCCCCTAAACTCCGAAGCCCCACTCTAAACCCTAAACCCTAAACCCTCAGACCCCTTCCATCCCTAAACTCTGCCCCCCCCCCCCCCCCCCCCCCCCCCCCCCCCCCCCCCCCCGCACGAGCCGCTGGCGGAGGAAGTCCAAACCCGTCGGCTCCATGACCTCGATGCAGCTAAGCGGCAAACAAGGGCTTAGGGTTTAGGGTTTAGGGTTTAGGGGGCTCAGGATTCCGGATTCACTTAGTACGTAGTAGGATCGTTTCTAATCGAATGGCTGACTTTAGGGTTTCTCCGGGCCAAGGGAACCTACGGGGAAACCTTAGACCCAAACCCTAAATCCCACCTTGCGTACTTGGTAGCCCAGAAACCATACTACCCTAAAGGGTACCCTTTCGGGGTTGGGTACCTGGTTACCCTTGAACCCAAAAAATGGACAAGTGCACCACTGGGCTACCAAGTGTAAGGATCCTGACCCTCAGGGACCTAAACCCTAAACCCTAAAACCCTAAACCCTAAACCCTAAACCCTAATATGCTACATGGGTTAAGGCAGCTCGGGCTTCGGGTGGCTTGGTTGGAAGCTTCGGGGACCTCCGAAGGAGAGAGGAAAAATAAGCAAATCCTTGCAAGAGGCACACTCTCACCCCGAACATAACCAGAACGGAAAATGGGCTTAGCAACTAAACTACCCTAACAAGCCGAAGAAACATGGGAATTTCCCAAAATAGTAGTATTTCCCAAAATAGTAGGGGTACCCTTTCATACCTCAAATAGAATAGAATCCCCCCTAAAAAGGGTACCCCTACTTTCGTAAACCCCCAGATTAGCAAAACAACAGTTGCAGGGAGTCCATGGGCAAAACCCTAAAAGGCGGGCCCGGTTTAGGGTTTGGGGTTAAGGATGCTGTCTGTTGCACCTAATTACACCTGTACGATGTACACGCAGCACATACTTCCCAAAAGCCGGTGGGGGGGGGGGGGCTACTTGCTATCACCCGAAACAAAGGCCGCCCCTATTCTTCATAGAACCTTGAGGCCTGATTCCCCCTACCCTGAACCCTCCGTCCTGCTGCAGCTTTCGCTCCAACGTTTGGCCCAAAGGCTTCGTGCGGGCCAAGCCTTGGGAGAAGAGGTCGAGTTTAGGACTTGGGGTTTAGGGTTTAGGGTTTAGGGTTGGGGGTTTGGGGTTTAGGGTAACTGAACTAGTAATATGCGGGGTCTTAATCAGTAGAACAGGGTTTTGGGGGGCAGTATAGGGTTTAGGGCTCAGGGTGTAGGAGTCTGGGGATTAGGGCTCTGGGATTCGGGGGTGGGAATTGGAAGTCGGGGTTCGGAGCTTAGGGATGTTCGGCCCAATTCAAACGATTTAGGGTTTAGGGTTTAGGGTTTAGGGTTTAGGGTGTAGGGTTTAGGGTTTAGGGTTTAGGGTTGCTTGAAGAGCAACTACAAGTCGTTCCAAGAAAATGAAGCGGCAACGGAAGGAGCATCGTCCATGCGAGCATTGCAAGGAACCGGGGTATCGAATTGCCTTTAAGGGGTGTAGTAAGGGGTTTAAGTAGGGTTTATGTAGGGTTTAGGGTCTAGGGTTTCGGGCTTAGGGCTTAGGCTTTAGGGTTTAGGGATGGCTCAACACCGGGATTAGAATGTAAGATTGCGCATTTGCCTTGGGTTCGCACCAAAGGTCGGGTACTCGCTAGAGGCTTGTAGCATTCCAAGGCGCTAGTTCACCTCAAGACGCAAGCCCGCTTTGTAAAGCAACGTAGCTGCCCTTCTAGTTGGGGTTAGGGTTTATAGGGTTTAGGTTTTAGGGTTTGGGGTTTAGGGTTTGGGATTTGGGTACGTTACATTTCAAGTCATACGGAGGTCATAAGGTAACAAGATTTATAAGTGCTAATCCCTAAACCCTAAACCCTAAACCTTAAACTCATAGTTTGGAAAAGCCCCCCCCCCAGCAACCCCCCCCCCCTCAGGTTCAGAAAAGTCTGTTTTGTATTCGTTGGCTATTAGGCAGCTAATAGCAGCTAATGGCCCACACAACCTTCCGCGCTATTAGCTAGCGATTAGCATTTCGAGCGTGTCTGCAAAACCGGCTGACTGCTATTAGCCAGCTAATAGCGAGCGCAGTCCCCGTTACACGACCCCCCCCCCCAAGCCAACAAGCCGCCAATAGCAGTCTATTAGCTGGCAAATAGTCTGCAATTCGCAGGGGCAACCCGTCGTTGCCTGCTTTAAGTTTTGCGCGAATAGCAAAAAGCCTTTCCTGCGCGATCTGGTTTGGCGGCCTGGGGGGGGGGGGGTTGCTGGGGGGGTGCTTTTCCAAACTATGATAAACCCTAAACCCTAAACCCTAAACCCTAAACCCTGGAGCTGCCCCCGCGAGATCCCTGGCTGCCCGGGCGCCCACCCGGGTCCTTTACCTGAAGGTTCATGGGTTGCTCTAAGTAGGGTTTGGGGTTTAGGGTAACTATATTCATAGCTTATAACAGACCTTCTTTAGGGCACTTATAACCCTGCATCTCACTACCCATGAACCTTCAAGCAGGGCTTAAGGCTTAGGGGCTTCCTTCCGGAAGGCCTCGTAC